ACTCTTTCCACACAAAATCCCAGAGGAATTTTCCACTACCTATTTATCTCCTTCCTCTTAATCTCTGTCTTGATTATTACTTGTCCTCTTCATCCCATTCCTTCCCTCTCTCCTTCTCACACTTCATTTCTGTCTTCCTCCTTAAGCCCATCTACCTTTCTACGATCTATCCCCTGCAATTTCTGCCCTGTCCTCTTTTGTCCCCCCTCCCTTCTCTCTGTTTCTACCTCTTTTCCTCCCTTCTCCCTATTCTGGACACTGAGTGGAACACAGATTATGTGAGACATTTATAAAAGTGGATTAGCCAGGATCACCTTCACACATGCACATACACACAAATACAAACGATTCCACAAGCAAATCCCTGCAGCTAGGTTCCAAAATGTTGTACAGAGTCTTCCCATAAGACCACATGTTGTTATAGCAGCATGTTAATTACCATAGTTTTTGGAATTAGACATTCAGCAATCACATAAATAGGTGTCCACATGCTTTTGGCCATGAAGTGTATATTTACACTAACACATACTGTACACATTCACTCACACACAGAGAATAACAAGTCCTCTCTCTCTCTGTCATCCGTCTCCTATTCTTTTGCCCCTACATCCCCCTCACCCATCCCTCAATTTCTGACTCAGCAGAACAAGTCACACACAAGGTCATCTGACTGCTGTTGCTGTGGAGACTGAGAAATGGGCAATTTTACCCTCCCTTTCTTTCTTGTGCTGGAAGGTAGGAAGGAGTGAGAAGCATGAAGGCATGACAGCGATTAAGAAAGGATACTACTGGCAGCCATTTTGGTCAAGCTGAGATTGAAAGGAACTTTATTAGTAGCACCACAGTGACAAAGGCACCCTCATGGACTGCAGTGTGGCCCTCAGGATCAAATTAAATCATTAAATCCTTGTTGTTCATTGCCTATATGGTATGCATGTTCATTTCAGTGGCGCAGGAATCTTTGAAAGCTAAACGGAGATGTATTTAGGAACCGAGTTGCCAGAGAGAGGAAAATAGTCATTTACTGTAAACCTTGAGGTGGACACAAAGAAAGAAAGAAAACAGTCCACAGATATTCAATGGGATTTTTATTTATGTTACAGTCTTTAGGCTTACTAAACCAAGACCTGGTACAGTTACAAAATCCTCTGTCCATTCTGAACTTCACCAAAGACTACTGAATTTAACTGGTGTTTCTGTTACTTTGTGTGTCCCTTGTATAGCTTAAACAACTCATTCACATATTTTGGGGGTTGGTTCACACAATTAAAATCAAATTGACTATTGTTATTGCAATATATTAAATTCATTACATCTTTGAGGTGACAAAGTGTCTTAAAGAGGGAAGCAACCAGATTTTGTGTGCTTCAGCTAGGTTTTTCTGTTTGAAAATACCACATGGACTAAAAACACAGAAGTCTATTCAACTGACACATACTGTGATAGAATTTACCTAAATGTATATCAATAATGGCGAAATCGCTGTTAAGCTGGTATTTGTAATAAGACGTAAGGGTTGTTGTGACCTTTGATTGTCCAGTCATGTAGTGTCTCAGTGTCTGAGATGTGCTTATTGTAAACTGCTCCTACAGGAATGTGTTTGGACTCACTATGACCTTGTCCTCAATACAGTTTGTAAGAGACTAGTGGGGAAAGGAGTGGTTAAACAGATCCTGTGATGCGTCTCTAAGTACACTCATTTAAGTCAGTGAAGACTGATCAGTCTATTTTTAATTCATCACACACATTACATGTTCACATTCATGTTACTACTATTAGCAGTACAGCTTTTACACAATAGTACTAGCCTCCTGGTGGTGGAACAGCAGTTAGTAAAGGTTATTAATATGAATTTACTTGTAGTAGCTTACCAATTATATAAGCTGTGCAAATTGGTTTTTAGAAATCAGGTCTGGGCCAAATAGTAATGCATTTAAATATCAACATTTGCTTTGATATTATGCCATTTGCCACAGTGGCAACAGAATGTATACTTGAATCTTTACCCCACCAATCTGCTAATTCAAGAAGGTTACATAAAACAACAAATTACCCCAAACTGGAGATTGGGGCAAAATTAAATTCTTGTCAGTATTTAGTTGCCCGCCCTGTTTTGGACTCAGCTTAAAAAAACAAAACCAACTCCCCCATAACAGCATGTTTGAACTGACTCCACTTTAACCCTGAGCTAACCCCATTCTGATGCTCTAGGGTTTCATGGTGCTGCATGGTCATTGTCTGAGTCTGCAGCAAGGAAGGCAGTGAGGCATGGCCACAGTCTGCTGCAGGGACAGCAGGCATAACTCTCAGCTTTCCCTTGCAAATCAGGCATTGCTTTAACATGCATGCCTGTGTATGTGTACTCCCTGCTGCGTCATCACTTCAGTAAAAAAGCACAGGAGAAAAACGTGACCAAAGGCCTGCAATGCAACTCAATGCTGCATACAGGTCAGCTTCTCACTCTTACATGTCCTCTGTTTTTCTATTGCAGAAAAACAACCTGTCCATCTACCAGTTTTCTTGTCCTCACATTTTGCTCTCTCTATTCACACTGCCTTGCCCTTGTCATTTCTGTCCTGTTCTCTTTCTGACTGTCCAGCCACTAGTTCATTCTTCTCTCAGTGTGGATACTTGCAGCAGCTGTCACTCCCACATGTCAGCTGGAGATAACAACCCTTGAGCTTTCATTGAGGAAATAATTATAGTGCTGAAATAATCCAGACTTGATCCCTTGTTTTACTTCCAATTTCACCTGGTTTCACCTTTGTACAAGTCTTTGGAGATCAGTTAAAATGCTGACTCTGCCTGATTAAAACTCAACTGTAGGTTGCAGGTTGCTTTCTGTAGCCCTGCCCCTGGTGTGCAATGATATACTGATGACTTAAATGTGATGTAATGGGGTCACACATGACTATGGCTTCACCTTGTTTTTTTTTTCTATCTGCATCTCTCTCACGCACAGACATACTGTATATAACTGTATTGCTGTCTTCTCTGTCTGCTGCACCCAGGACCACTACTAGGTGAAATATGGAGGTGCACAACATGCTCATGACAGGACCACCACCACCGATGAGACACCCAGCGGTGCGTATCACATGCAATAACGCACACAAATCCACCAGTTTGTGTTACATAAATGCATTACACAATGAACAAACACAATCATGACAACTAGAATCTAACCTTGTGCGTCCATTTACACAAAATGTCAGCCTAGATAGTGACGACGCTGCTGGCTACAAGCCTTGGATTTCTGCAGTAAAACAGGAGGGGCAGAACCGGTTTTCTATTGGCTCACTTGAAGCCTGGGATTAATCCAGTTGGTCAGCGATCCCATCATCGATGAAACGCTCAAAATGATGATTGGCCATCTCTGTGAACGGTGAACGGTGGGCGGGTGTAACGGGCCTTTCGGTTCAATCATTTGCTTGAGGCGGCGCTTCTTCCTCTGGCGGAGTGGTGCCGTTAGATGAGTGGAGTACTGCGGCAGCAGGCAGAGCCGCGGAGGAAGATCAAGTGCTGAGGAGGAAGAAGTGATGTTCCGTTAATTTCGCCGGTTTTCGCCACAAGTATCAGAGAGCACAGAAAGGAAGCGCGTGCCCGCGTGATGCTCCGCTTGAGACCGCAACATTTCATTTGAAATACGTCTAGCCTGCCCTTTTTGAAGGCCTGTTTAAGCCCAAGAAAAATATCAGACAGATAACTCCCCTGACGTTTTTTTCTTGCTCATTTTTTATTTAAATAATAACCGAAAACTGAGCGAATCCTCTTTTATTTTTTGAAGACAAGGCATTCTGATATATTTCAACGTGAGGGGGTGACACCTCTCAAGCCGTGCATCACCAGACAAGAGACAAGTGACTGCGCCAACATGGGGGTAAGGCCGACCACTCCAACTTTTTAACTGCGTTGTAGTCCACCAGAAGTGGCCCGAGAAGTGAGAAGTAGCCTGCTACCTCGCTACTTAAGGGGAAGCGCTTCGAACTGAGCACTGATATATTTGTTTCCTTTATGAGAATCCCGTTTGTCTGTGGCATTCTTTCTAATGCGGAACTATTTTACGCTGGTCTCCTAGACTGCGACAAGCTGATCTAACCGGTAATGCCGCAACAGAGAACAGTGACATATAACTCTCGACTTTGGCTGAATTTTAGATTGGTTTTGACTTGAATAGAATATTACTGGCTCGTGGCCTATGATTTAACTCACGGAGTCCATTTAAATATAGCGTTATCCCGAGATAAAATATGAGTGAACGGTGATGTCAAAGTAGAGTGTATGTGTGGTCTAGAGGTTGTCGGTACATCATGTGTATTTCAGGTCTTATACCGTAGTCTGACTATAACCTTGTCAGCCATGGTGGGCCTCGTGGGTTTATCCTTTCAGGGAACTCTCGTGGGTGAGACAGGGACAGAGAGGAGGAGGTGTCTAGGCTCTCAGCCCACAGAAACCAATTCTATTCACCTATCATTAAAACTGCAGCTTTGGTGCATTTGAAGGCACAAAGGTACATAGTTATGCCGTATGGCTTTCTCTGTGGTGAATGGACACTATACTGTGACCTCGCTCATGCCCTCGCCGCCCCCGTCCCCTTCCTCTCCTCCCCTCCCCTGGCAGTGTCCTCTCTCCGGTCTGATGTCTCACAAACTGGCGGTGAACCGAGAAGATGGTGAGTCCATAGAATCCTTACAATGGACAGTCTCAGCGGAGGAGTCTCATCCTCAGTGTTCCATGCGTCATAATGCGGTGACTGAGAATAAGTGCCTGACCATCTTATTTCCTCTTTAATTTGTGACATAACATGGACTCGACAAACGCCTTCAGTGAAGACACACACACACACACACACACACACACACACACACACACACACACACACACACACACACACACTGCAGACAACAGACACATGCCTACCCGTCATAATGCGGTGACTGAGAATAAGTGCCTGACCATCTTATTTCCTCTTTAATTTGTGACATAACATGGACTCGACAAACGCCTTCAGTGAACACACACACACACACACACACACACACACACTGCAGAATAAAGAAACATGCGTCCAGCACAGTAGGAGTACGGATTTGTGCTCGTTAGACTAAAGTTGGTCAGTATTACTTTAGAAAGTTTCCATCTGCTGTGCGAAACGTTAAACCATTATAACAATAAGGTCTGTTTCTGATTATCTAGACAAACCTATTAGCTATACAGGCTGATCGGTGGAGGCTGGTGGGGAAAAACACAGCGCTACCGAAAAATGCTAAGGTACAGAGGGAGCTGCTGGGAACACCGGCGTGTGCTATTGCGCAGTTTGTGGTCCGTCACCATCCTACGGAAGGCGTTGTAATGTTTAATCTGTGGCAGCCGTCTGTTTGCTGAATAATTCTGTGGCATGACGCTGCAGATACAGGACCACGAGGTGCTGAGAGATATCTCTCTCTTCGGAAGCAGTGCAATCCGATGTCATGCAGTGATACCAGCTGATGTGGTCCTGCAGTATCTGACATTGCTCTGTCGGGAGAGATGTCCAAGATATATGATTCAAGGAGAAGAGAGTTTCCAGCCATGTTATTCATTTAGATGTGAAAGCCAACCCGGCTTTGTGGTCACTGCGTCAAATAGGATAGGAGAACAAAAAATGCTTAGGCGTGTACTCATTGTGTGGATGGTCAAGCTTAGTGAGAGATTCGCTCAGAGGAGGTGATATGCCGCAACTCTCCAGCGATTGACATTCTAAAAAGAATATAATAGTTATTGTGTAAACAGTGTATTACGTCTCATTGTCTTTCACCCGGTGTGCGCTAATGTGAGGTAAATGATTGAGAGAGTGTATTTGGGTGTCGTGTTATCACGCGTCCCGGTCGATTACAGTTCCTAATTTCTCTCTCCGTCTTTCTTCCGGGAACTGGCGCACTGTACGAATGCACTGGCAGCTGTCCTTTACCAAAGCCGCTAGGGGCATCGCTTGAGATGCTCTTCTGCGTCAAACTGGAGGCGGAGCCGCTGGTGTGGTAATTCCATATAAAAAGCTGTGATAGGCTGTCACAAGGAGCCACGCAGTAAGGACTGGACTACGAGGCACCCGTAATGCCCGAACAGGAAGCTTGGGCATGTGTCAGGAATACCAGAGAGTCAAGCGGCACATTTTGACAGCACAGAGATAGATACTCTAAAATTGGAAGAGCATCTCTAAAGAAATGAAGGGCCTGCTCTCTGCTTTGATGCAGTGACGAATACTGATGACACTATAGGAGAGACACAGAGGGAGATGTTGATGGAGGGCTCCACACATGCATCCACTGGTGGTTTTCACCTTCAGACACATGACACCGATGGGGTAGGATGCCACTGCTGAGAAAGGAAGCAGTGACTGGTCTGCAGATGTAGGCAGAAGGGGAGAGGGATTTAAAGTGAGGGAGGAGGCATGTGGAGAAGGAGGACTGCCTGTATATCCTGTTACAAGATAATCACCTGAGGCTGACATTACCATGGCTCCTGTTTCCCTGTGCTGTGCTTTGTGGGATTGGTCTGGGGGATAGGAGACAGATGGAATAAGGAGAGGGGGGTTGGGGTTGGAGTTGGGTGGATGATCTTTAAAGGATATTGACTAAATAGTGACTGTGATGGAAGAGAGGTTGGAGAGGTGTGGTGCAGGTGGGCTGATACCCCAGGAGAGATGGGAGATTAAAGAGAGATGAAGGTGTAGTAGCAGCACTGAGGCGTTATCAGAAGGTCATGGAGGCTGGTGATAAGGGCTGTGGTTGAGCTGTTGTCAGTGCAGTATGGTTGAGTAGAAGCTCCTGTTATTGTTGAGACCTCTGAAAGACAGGCTTACTAAGTACCACATGTTCTCATAAAAAAGCTTTAAGAACAATGTGCACTCTCATGTTGGCACTAGTAAGGTGAAAAAGACATTAGGAGGTGTAAGTGGAAGGTAGTCAGAGGCTGGATGTGTGTGGCCTCTGCAGAGGCCCAGCCCTCAGTTTGGTGCAGGACACTGCACATACATCCCTCCCCATTGCACCTGCAGCCTGATGCTGATAGGCTACACTGTACCACGGCTGATCTGAGTTGCATGTTGCAGGAACCAATAGAAAAGTACAGTATGTCCACACAGGATCTGTCTGACCAGCTGGGATCTTTTGGCCTCCGTGGCCTAAGGGTCACTTAAGGTCAATATGATGACTCTTTGAAATGCTCCTTTGTTGTCCCCTTCAAACCTTTTAAGGGTCTCTGAATAATAGATATCCACTGTAATGAGAACAGTGTCCTCTGAGAATACGCCTGACAGACAGATGCAGTTAACCTCATCACCAGTGTGAGACTAGCTGGACAACGTCTGAGCTATGAGCTCAGTAGCAGTTTGTAAAATGCTAATAACGTGTAAAGGTCAGTGCTGTCTCCTTCATATATTACTTGAATAATATTCAACTATTAGCATGTTGATGGTCTCCCATAGTGAGAGCCTTTCAGAAGGGTTAGGTTGCCTGACTACAAGGACATGGCTAATTTCGGGTGTTGTCCTGGAGATGTGCGTATGTTTACGAGTTTCGTGCAACTGTAAATGTGTGTGTACATGTGAATACAGCAAAGTATAGTGTAACACTGGACATCCATAATGGCCATAGTCGTGTTAAACAAAAAAAAAGAGACAACTTTACAAAACCTTGCTATATTTGATTTCTGTTTTGTTCACATGTAATTCTGACATTCAAATAAAAAAAATATACATCAGCATTTGTCAGCTACTTCTAGGACTATTGTTAACTATATTCCTGAATAGCTAATGGTGAATGATTTCCACTTCATTCAGATACATTCGACATAACAGATACTGGTTTTAAATAACAAAATGACACATACTTGAAAATCTGTTGATGTGTATCTGGGTGTGCAGTCAGTAGTTCTGTGCATATGGATGGGTGTCCATGCACATGTGCTCATGTCTTTGTGACCAGCTGCCTAATGAGGAGTCGGTGACTTCTTCCCACACTGTGGTGAGCTGCTATGTTTACTACTGCAAGCCAAGATTTACAGTTCTAATCTAGAGTAGGCCACATTTAAACACATGCCAAGAATCACAAACTATAGTACAAGACCTTTAGACACCCCAGGGGGTAGACGGTGCTTGGTTTAGAACTACAGTTACACAATGTGCTATGAGCTAATGAAGATGATGATGAGATGGACAGATGGACAGGATGGAACAGAGTGGAGGGGGGAAGGAGCGGTTACAACATAAGATTTTCAGTGTCCGCTTCCATTTCTTGCTTTTGTTAATTTTTAGCTTTTGGAGAGAGAGTACAACAGATGATGTGCGAGTCCAAGAGAGTGTGTGTTTGTGCTTTAGAGATTAAAGTTCTCTTGTCCTACTCTTATGCCAGCAGTTTTTATTGTACATTCACCTATTTATATATACTATTTCAGTAAATACTTGTCCTTGGGGATTGTTGTGGTCATTGTCTGTTTAAAAAAGTTGTAATGCATCATTTCCCTTTCTCTTCATGTCTCTTATCTGGAATTTCCTCCTTTTGATGTTTGTTCACCTTGTTCGCCTCCCCAGCGCTGTACTGTGGCCCAGAGTCCTACCATCCTGCTGCAAGAAATAGCAGATGGCCCTACAACCTTGCAAGGACACACACACAAACATGTATACACTGACAAAGTTACAAATATTACTTAATTGAAATTATTATTATTGTATTTAAACTATTTGTTTCAGTTTAAATTATTGATTATTGAAATAAAGGTGCATAAACAGTTTTCTTGTCATAAAGGATTGTATAATTTTTATTTTTTCACTAAAGGTATGTTACATTGTGCACCTCAATAAAGACTAAACAGAGAGAGCACAGGTCTGCTTTACTAAACTGA